ATTAGAACAAGTTTTCAAAAATTCACTCTGATCATTCCCCTGCCAAAACGTGTTTAAACGGTGGCATCACATCTTCCACAAACCACCTGACAAATGCCCATTCAAAAGCCCTCACACTGACCTGAAAAAATGCCAAAATGGGGCTTGAAAGTTGACTCTGCCTTTAAACCCTAGCACTTGTATTTTCTGCTATGTAGTTAAGAGATTTCTCTTGAGATGCTGATTTGTACTTTAAAAAAAATTGAACTTCTACTTGGAAGACTTGCTGCAATATTATATGATGATGTAATTATTTATGTAGTCCCAACTGAGCCTATAGGATCCAAAAGCTTTAAAATCTGTATCTACAGATATAGATTTAGACAGCATTCCTCCATATCATTTACACACACACACACACACACACACACACACACACACACACACAAAACACCCAACTCTCTTCAAATACTGTTTTAAAGTTCCAGACACTTCTTGATGTAACTGTGTTCTATTTTGAATTCTCGAAGCGGTCTTAGTAAAGTTTAAGATTAAAATCACAAGTCTTACAGTCCAGACAGGGAATAAAGTATAAACTATGAAGGTGATCTCATGAGCTCAGAATTATGCCTTTAAAGGTCAAGTTGACTTAAAATATGACCCAAACAGAATGTAACATATAAACAAGGAAACTTTCTTTACCCAATTTTAATTAATTCAATGAAGGATATTTTATCTTATTGTTAACAATGCTAGTTAAGCCTAGGCATTTTCATGTTATTTCCTCTTTTTTTTTCTTTTTGGGCCACACTCAGCGATGTTCAGGGGTTACTACTGACTTTGAACTCAGGAATTACTGGCGGTGCTTAGGGGACCATATGGGATGCTGGGGATTGAACCCGGGTCAGCCGCGTGCAAGGCAAATGCCCTACCCTCTGTACTATTGCTCCAGCCCCTATTTCCTCTTTTGAGCTTGGGAATATGACTATTTGTGCAAGTCAATGTGCAGTAAATGATTATTATAAACTATAGTAATATTTTATTGACTTAGACTGAAGACATATTGACTTCGACTTCGATTAAGACTTATTGACTTAGACTTAGACTAAGGCTTAATTGACTTAGACTGAAGGCATATTGACATATTTTATTGACTTAGACTGAAAGCAGCCCACAACAATACAACAAAAGCTCATTTTAGGAAGTCAATCTGCAGGATTTTTATGAGATGAATTTAAGAATTCTAGAGAGTGAAAAGTAATTCGTTCCTATAGAGCTTTCACACTTGCCAGATCTAGGCCAGTGACCAAAAGAGGGAAGGAACTTGAAGGGGTCGTTAGTCCTCTATAATTATCATTAGGCCATTGGTGATCTTAGTTGAGCTCCATCACTTTTTTCTGGGCCTCTGCTCCCCTTCCTACAGACTGAGGAACTTGAAAAGTTTCGTCCTTTGCAATTTGTGAATTTTCAGAGTCCTGATTTCATAAAATGTCTCCAACACCTATCAACACCTGCTTCAAAGTGCCCGGGACTGTCTCTGTCACCTCTAATCATTTGATCCAGAGGAAGTGAGGACAGAGAGAGCAGGACAAGGAGACAGAATGGGGTTTCAGAGAGTCCCATGGCTGTGCACCTCCACCCTCCCTGTGACCCCTACCCCCAAATCAAAGAACTCTTCATACACACAGTGGGAGCAGCTAGGTTAGTAAAAGAGCAAATCACTTAGGTTTATCTTAAGTTTTACAGTCATCCTTCCTTTACTCAGGCTTACAGTAGAACCACGGCAAATGTTTCCAAAGAAAAGTCCTTGGCTCCTTTTCACTCTTACTTTGTTCATGAAAGAACTTTTCTGGAGAAAGAGAAGGGATAGCAAAACAAAGCTGCAAAAAAAGGGGGACTAATAATCATGAGGATTCTCACCAGTACTGGGCTTCCTGGGCCCTTAGTAGCTGTAGTACAGGGGTTACATAGCGCCCAGACAGACCCTGGCTGAACCGTGAAGTGGGGCTTGGGGTGGATAGTTGACCCACCATGGTCGAAGGTCCTATGGGAAAGGAGCTTCTCATAGACTTGGCCCACGGGAAAGAAAAGCTCCTCAAGATCAGCATCCTGCCAGCCCCCATAATCGATCTATTTATGACCGCTTACTTCAAAATGAAGACTTAACCAAAAGCAGATTCAGTGGAGCAGTTTCCCAAGGGCAGCGGGAATCCCCCGTCTGACCTTTGAAAAAAATCCTAAAAGCTTCACTGCTCTGGGAACTCGGTGAGCCAGTCATGGTGAATGCTTCCAATTCATCACAGGGAAATTCAGGGAGCTACTGGGGGCGTTTAGCATAGCACAATGAGTGTCAGAGAAAGTATGAATATTGGTGGGCCACCAGTTGATTAATCTGGGAAAAATCATTAAGAGGGGAGAGCATTTAAGTGTAGCCCTTTATGTAACAAATAACAGTTCTAATTTTTTAATTAGTTTACTTTTAAAGTGTTGAGTCATAGGTGTTATCAAAAAACCAAATGAAAAATTGGTAATGTATCCTAGGGGTGCTGGTTGAAGGATCGAAAGCATCTTAACATCACTTTTAAAAACATCACTTTGGTTTTGAGAATCTTTTACATCTCACTTGGTTCAGAAAAGGTGGTGGTTGTCATTTTTCTAACACATTTAAACAACTCAAAAAAAGGGAAAGGGGATTGAAATTATTCATCTACACTTTTTTTGGCTTTTTGGGTGACACCCAGCAATGAACAGGGGTTACTCCTGGCTCTGCATTCAGGAATCACCCCTGGTGGTGCTCAGGGGACCATATGGGATGCTGGGAATCAAACCTGCTATGTTATCACTCCAGCCCTTATTCATCTACTCTTGATTGTAAAGTTAGCAGATAAATGTATCTGAAGTAAGCCCACTGTACCATGAATTTTAAAGCATTTTGTAAACTATAAAGCTATCATGTGTTATTTTATCTACTCTTATAGACACAGATATTACAAAAATAAAAAAGAAAGAGAAACAGCCCGGAAAGTGCAGTCATTTCACCCACACTTCAGCTGAACTGACATTTATAAGTGAACTAATATCAGCTGTGGCATTGAGTTTGGGTGGGAAACTGTCGAAAAAAGACATATTTGGTTCTAAGTCATTGACAAATTGGTAAGGAAAGAATGGGTTCATGCAGATCTTCTTTCAAGCCACTTGATTTCAGGTCTTTTAAAAAGTCAGCATCAAACAAGTTGCTATATTACAACCCAACACCAAACTTGAGAGCTCTCGTTCATACATGTGACTTACATTATCTTTAGAACCCTGTTTGCAATGTCTGAGCTTAGAATGTTCATAGGGCTTAAGGAGGCAGTTGTCTTAAAAGTTTATTCTCCTTTGGTGTTACCCCCAAATGTCAAATAAGACCATCTGTTTTCCACCACAGAGTTGATTAACAGCTTGCAGAAACTAAAGTCAGACTTTAGGAAATCATACATTGAGAACATTGTATGTAACAATAAACCAGCCTTTGTCCTTTTTTCCATTTCTCCTACCTCAAGGGATGTACAAAGTCCAATAATATTAATATTAGCAATAATTTTAAAATAAACCAAACCTGTTCCAGTTCATGCTTATATTTACTCTTATTGTGACTTTTCCCCCCCAAGCAAACCTGATCTCACTTTTGTACTCTAACAGTTAATAAAACTGGGATTGGTGAAGGTGTTGCTATCTGGCTCTTACTCTGAACATCTTATACAGAGAAGGAAACATGCTTGGCAACTCAAAGAACCAGAATTTAATACCATTGATTTCAAAAATTGAGTCAGAAGTCCCAACAGTTCAGTTGAAGAAGACAAAAAAAAAAAAAAGACAGAGAATAAGTGAAAAGGAAGATAATGGGGGGAAACCTGGACAGTAAACCTGGAACACTTCACTATAAAGTTTTCCCGTTTGAAATCTCTGCTTCCAATATGGCGTTTCCTTATCTGAAAATTACCTGCAAGGATACAGAAGACTTAATACATTTTTTTATTTCTTCTATTCGCATTTATTTTTTATGCTGAGCCTTAAAAACTCCATAACTAAGGAAATTAAGCAGGTAGTTCTTTTGTGGGGGATGTGAGGGGTGTCTTCAGAGCAATGCTCAAGGGGCTGACACTCAGTCAGTCTATGCAGGTTGGACCATTCATTGCTCAGGCCAACAATGTGGGGTTGCTCTGACCTAGTTGTGCAGAGGACTACAAGAATGTTCCTGCAGTGCCCAGGGCACCAGGGCTACATCACCTGGTATTTAGAGAGCCATGCAGTGCCAGGAATCAAACTTGGGTCTTTGTACATGCAAGGTTTGCTTCCCTGACTCCTGAACTATCTCCACAGCCCAAGCAGGCAATCCCTTTAGCCATTAAACAATTGATATGAGCCAAATATAACAAATAGGATTCATTTTAAATTTGTCTTTCTGAAAAGGTAGATTTTTTTTTTTTTTTGCTTTTTGGGTCACACATAGCGATGCTCAGAGGTACTCTTGGCTCTGAACTCAGGAATGACTCCTGGTGGTGCTTGGGGGACTATATGGGACCCTGGGAATGGAATCCAGGTCGGCCATGTGCAAGACAAACACCCTATCCGCTGTACTATCACTCCGGCCCCTGAAAAGGTAGATTTTTAACCCCCAAGAGAAAAACTTGGTTCTTCCTAAGATAAGACAATTAGTAAAGAGGCCTTTTCAATGAAGGTGCCTCATTCTCGTGGATCTAGCTCAAATATCAGTTCCTGGCGGGTTCAAGTAGCAGTTGCCAGTTTGATGGTGGCCTGGCTCTCAATGGAATCTGGCATCTTACTTGCCAGGCAAACACATGATGCTGTTTCAGGTAAAACTTTGTCACGCTCCATGGTCACAAACTATTCAGATGTTGGAATTAGGGGTTGGCACCTGTTGTGTGAGACTGGACCAAAGTCTAATCCCAGACAAGAACAGAGATGATGGGCTGCAGCAGGCAGAGGGGATGGTCCCCCCACCCCCCAGGTCACATTACCTCTCCCGCTCCTGCTCCAGCAGGTTGGTGAAGTCGTCGCTCTTGTTCATGTAGTCTGTGTGTTTATGCTTCTCGTTCTCCAGCTCATACACGGTGCGCCTGTGACACTTCTCTGCCAGCAAGAGCTGCTCTAGCATGCGCCGGTAGGTTTCTTTCTGTTTTTCCTCCAGTCTGTCCAGCTGGGTGAGTAAATGTGGGAAAGAGCTTACTGTTTTATTCCATGTACATATTGCTCTAAATAATGTTTACAATGGGCTGGAGCGATAGCACAGCGGGTAGGGCGTTTGCCTTGCATGCGGCCAACATGGCCGACCCGAGTTCGATTCCTCCGCCCCTCTCGGAGAGCCCGGCAAGCTACCGAGAGTATTCGATATGCCAGACACAGTAACAACAAAGTCTCCAATGGAGACGTTACTGGGCCCGCTCGAGCAAATCGACGATCAACGGGAGGGCCTTTACCTTTTTTTTACCTTTATGTAAAACCACTGAAAATGATACAAAAAAGTTCCTTTAGAGGAAAGAGTGTGAAGCTTCTTAAATTTCACCAAGGGGCCATTAAACCTTACTATAAGAGATCACTAACATGTGAAAGGTTGAACCTTGTGTGCATATATTTATATATGTATGTATGTATAAGGGCTGGAGCGATAGCACAGCGGGTAGGGCGTTCGCCTTGCATGCGGCCAACATGGCCGACCCGAGTTCGATTCCTCCACCCCTCGCGGAGAGCCCGGCAAGCTACCGAGAGTATTGGATATGCCAGACACAGTAACAACAAAGTCTCCAATGGAGACGTTACTGGGCCCGCTCGAGCAATGTTTACAATGGTCTAATGAGTTATTGTACTGGAAGGGGAGATCACGGAGTCTGATACTCTACAATTTTTTTGTACTTCAATTTCTCTAATCTAATGGACTTTACAAAGTAGCCCTAAGAAGACTGTAGTCACTTCTGGCCCATGGTGGCCCGTTTTTTGTGAACCTATATGTGGTTCCTAAATTTTCAAAATAATAGAATCTTTCACTCTTTTTATGATATGGTTCAAAGCCCTGGACTCAGAAAGAAAGGCCAACATCCTTCCTGCTTTCAGAAAATCAGGTGTTTGGCATGTGTACCTACCCAGTTTCTTCCCCGGAATTAATCATTTATGACATTTGCCTCTCTAGGGAAAGTATGAATGGTCCATAATTTGCTTTCTTTTTAAAAAGATATTCTTAAATATGAAGAGGGAGGATTTCAGAACTTGAATTTTTTGGTTGTTTTTTTTTTCTTTTTTTCTTTTTTTTTTGGGCCACACCCAGCAATGATCAGGGGTTACTTCTGGCTCTGCACTCAGGAGGCCATATGGGATGCCAGGGATTGAAGCTGGTTTGACAACATGCAAGGCAAACACCTTACCCGCTGTACTATCACTCAGGCCTGGATTTCAGAATTTGTAGAAAGCACATATCCCCAACTAAAATGGATCTTATAAAATATTATTAGAGGGTTTTGTGCATATTTTTTTCTGGTTAGGCTTTGAGGGATTATGCTCTAATTATCTTTTATTTGTTTTTTAATTTTTTTTCCTTTTTAAAAATTATTTTGATTGAATCACCATGAGATACATGGTTACAAAGTTTTCTGTTTCTGTCTCTCTGGCTCTCTGGCTCTCTTTCTCTCTCTCTTCCTCTCAATCACTTTTTTGCAGCCTGGTGGCTAGTATTTTGCCTGGAAGAAAGTAAACAGTACATATTTGTTAAATTAGGCTGAGTCTTGTTGGTAGGTTCCTCATCTATTTTTTTCAAACTTTCAAACTCTATCTCGGTCTCAGGACTATTGTCATTTTAGGCAAAATAATTATTATTTGTTTTGTTTTGTTTTCATTTTTTTTCATCTTATATTTATTTATTGAATCACTGTGGGAAAAATTACTAAGCTTTCAGGTTTAAGTCTCGGTCATACAATGATCCAACACCTTTCCCTTCACCAGTACTCACTTTTCACCACCAAGAACCCCAATATAACCCCCCTCCCACCCCACCCAATGCCTGTGAGGCAGATGATTTCTACTTAACTCTTCTCTACACTGATTATATTCATCATTTCGACAAAAGATGCACCATTACCAAATAATTATTATTTGGAGGTTGTACTGTGCTTTGATGGATATGGGGCAACATGCCAAATAGATCTTGCCCTGTAAATGCCAGCAGTAACCACATCTAATTGTAACAAAGCTATCCCCAGTCATTGCCAAACATCTCTTGAAGGGGAAAGCCTGCAGACTCCTCATTACTACATGACTTGTTGCTGTAGTCGAAGCATGCACCATATTTAAAATCCATCACCAATTCCACAGCCACTTTTATTAAACCCAATGGGATAACTTCACAGGGTATGAGTGCCATGGCTGTTCCTCTGAGTCTGCCACTTTTGCTCTTCAGTTATAAGGAGAATTGAGATTCCTAAAATTCCAGGCTATCTTTCGCATAAATTTCTGGGGCCCAAACTAGGAGACTTTGCTCCCAAAATCTTCAATGTCTTCTAATCTCTATTCCTTTCTCTTAAGAGCAGGTGACCAGCTAGATTGGTAGGGAAGCTCAAATGAATTGGTGGCTGAAACTATCTGAGGTCATCAGGTATTAGAAAAGGTTACATGTATGAGTCCTGATACATTTATGCAACCTTCTGTTTTCTTTTTTAAATTTTTTGCACAATATCTGGTTGTATTACTCCCTATTCTGTGCTCAGGGTTCATCCCCAACAATGCTCAGGGGACCATGTGGTACTGGTGATAGAATCCAAGCATAGTGCATATAAAACATGTACTCAGTCTTTTGAGTTATCTCCCTGGTCCAATTTCTACACAGGAGATTTTCTCACTGGAATAACTTCCTATTGCAGAATATGTCCTCCAACAATTTTATCTTCTATAACTGTGATTCTTGGTGTGTTTTACAGAATTTGTCAAGTTTTGTGGAAACATCATCATCAGATATGAAGAAATAGCAACTTTTTTCTTGAATATCACATTTTACTATAAAGTACAACCCTGAGTCCCTTTCAAATTACAATATTTGGAAGAGCAATTTCTGTTTCTCCGTAGCTTTTCCCCCTTTTCTGTGACAAAGGAAGGGTGTCTAATTTGAAGGTTGTATCTAAGGTAGGAGACTTTGTCAGTCTCTTCATTTCTGATTTTTCACTCAGCTTTCCAGAAGATATGCACTGTGCTCTGTAGGCCCAATATCATTTTAAGTTGTTTCTCCAAAGTCAGGAAGGAAATTAACAGAACACACAGTGGTGGTCACTTAACGATTTGTACCTACAATAAGGATAAATGCTTTAGACAGATTTGTCACACTCATTGCAGTTATCTTTCAATCTCTTCTAGGAATTCTGGAGGGGAATATGGGCATTGTTAATTGGATGCTTGACGAAGATCTCTAAGGAGATAGACATCACAGGAGCACTTCGAAAAAAATAAAAAATAAAACCAGAGGACCAGAGACATATTATAAGGAATAAGGTGCTTGTCTTGCACATGGCCAACCCTGATTCCATTCATAACACTGCGTATGGTCCCCCAAGCACCTTCAAGGCTCATTCCTGAGCACAGATCCAAGAAGAGTTCCTAAATACCACCAGTTCAACACTCCCCACCCCAACCCCCTGCAAATAGAAAAGAAATAAACATCAGACTATATTGATATGAAGTTTTCCTGGTCAGCATGTATAGGAGCAAAATCTTAACACGTTCTTTCGATGTGGGCCTTTAAAATGGACTGTTTTGGGCCAGAAAGATAGTACAGTGGGTAAGGCACATAGAGGACCTGGGTTCTATGCCTGATATCACATTTGGTCCCCTGAGAAACATCAGGAATGATTCCCAAGTTCAAAATTAGGAGTAAGCTCTGTGCATGGTGGTCAGATGTTGAGAAAGAAAAGAAAGAAAGAAAGAAAGAAAGAAAGAAAGAAAGAAAGAAAGAAAGAAAGAAAGAGAAAGAGTGAGAGAAAGAGTGAGAGAGAAAGAAAGGAGGGAGGGAGGGAGAGAGGAAGGAAGGAAGGAAGGAAGGAAGGAAGGAAGGAAGGAAGGAAGGAAGGAAGGAAGGGAGGGAGGAAGGAAGGAAGGAAGGAAGGAAGGAAGGAAGGATCAGCAGAAAGACTGGTTGTTTGCTGCAGCTAAGCTCCTAGAGTTTGTGCAGATGCTTTTTCTGAGTTCTTTGTGGGCAATGATCACTTCACCTGCAGTTGCTTTGCCCTCAATGATTATATTAATCAGGAAGGCTGTCTTTTCATCTCAACACAAGAAACGCACCAAGACATTTGTGCGTGCACTTTATTTTTCATAAAGAACTACAGACCTAGACTTTAAGCAACAGGGAAAACAAACTCTTCTTTTCAATCTTGAACCTCTCCTGTTCTGAAGACAAAATTCAAGGTCTTACACAAGTAAAAATGTGTTTCATCCCTTTGAACTATCTCCCCAGGCCCAGAAGTAGCAAATACTTCAGTAATATAGCATTTGCATGTGTGAGGATATAACTTTTTGTTTTAAATTCTGGATATGGAAATAACAGAGGTAGTAATAGATCATCTGTGCCAGACTTGATACTTGAAGCTTTATTTGGAATTGCACTGAATTCCTAGGAGAGAAATAAGTTGGACTAAGACCTTAGATCTATGTCTCCGAAGACCACCTCTCTTGTCTATGAGTTCTGAAGACTCATTAATCATGTGCATTTTGTCCACAGTTTAGCTTTCAGATACAAATTGTGGTTCAGCCATTGAGGAATGTTAGAATCTATTAACGAATAGTGAAAGTGAAATGGACACCTATTGCTTTAGAAATACAGCTCCCACTTGGACTAAGGTGGAAGGAAAATTCAATGAGATCATCAGACCATCATAACACAGTCAAAGGTAAGATTTACTAAGGAAAATGTGTGTCTCGAAGTCTTATTGTAGTGAATCAAGTTGGTGAAGAAACAAAAAAAATTTGAGATGGGTAGTAATTTATGAATCAAAAGGAAATGTCTTAGCTGCATCTAGCAGAGGACTAAATGGAGAAATATTAAGACATTTTGAAAGAAAGAAGTATCTATATAAAACAAAATAGGAGATTTTAAACACCAAGTCAATTTATGCATAAAGCTAATGGTTCTTCAACATAGCACTATAAAGAAGGACACTCTTTTCA